TAAATAAAATAATCTCAAGACCAATGAGGAAGAACAAAGTCTTAAGAGCAGAGGAAACATCCCATGTCCCCAGGAGACAGGTCCCCTAGCCCCTACAAAACTGCAGAACCTAATCAGTATCCCTGGAGGAATGGAACTGCTGTCTAGAAGAACTTGGGGCAAGTCTGCGTTCCTGACACAACAGAACATCTCTTTCTGCTGTGTAGAGCTCCTTTCTGCCCATCACTTGCATTGCCACATCAGCAATGCTCAGACTGTGATCTGAAGAAGGGAGTTCTAATCTTAAAACAGGAAACAGAAGGGAAGAGGAGACACTACTAATGGTACCATATTCAGCCACAACCCTTAGTAAATGCCAGAGTGGCTCAAAAGGCAACAGCAGCCACAGCCCTTCTGCTAGCCTTACCAGCCTCTTGAAGAAGGAACATGCCTTATATACTCTTAGAAAATAGATGCTTCCTTGGGTATCTAACTGTCAGTACAAGATATTGTGTAATGGATTTGTTATCAAACAAAAATGTTCACTATAGGATTACAGGTTTATTTTAAAACTGCTAGAGATCAGTTTAGGGACTACTGAGTTTACAGTCTGTGGTTAGATTCCTCTTAAATTAGGAATTTTTAACACCATCTAGCACATATGGGGCTCAATTACAACTTCATTGGTTTCAGAACTAAAGCTAAACTTTGTCACCACATTATAAACAGTGCCACTTGGGATGGGCGACTGACATCTGAAACACAGGCCCCATTTCAGGCTCTGTTTACCTGTCTGTTTTTACTAGGCCCTTGTTCACGTAGTGTCAGAAATGATAAGCCGCTTACCTTTTCATGCTTGTGCCTCTCCTTCTCTCTCTCTCTCTTCTCTCTCTCCCTTTTCTCTCTCTCCCTCTCCTTCTTTTCCTTCTCCTTCTCCCGCTCTTTCTTTTTCTTCTTCTCCTTTTTCTCTTTCTTTCTCTCCTTCTCCTTGGGTTTCTCTTTTTCCTCCAGCAGTTTTTCTGGCAGCATTGGTGACAAGGCGGGCAGCAGGCCTGGAACTCTCACTGCGGCAGGAGCGCTGAACAGCGGCAGCGCCATTTCCTTCGGGGGTAAGAGCAGCGGTGTGGCCGGGGCCTTGGGCCTGTCTTCTCTGCCCTTGTCTCTGGCCCTTTCCTTTTCTCTCCTCTCCTTGTCTCGCTTGCTTCTCTCTCGCTCTTTCTTCTTGTCTTTATGCTTCTCCTTCTCCTTCCTCACAATGCCGTCTTTCAATCGCACTTTTGGATCTGTGTCTTCAAATTCCTTGATTTTAAACCTGTAGGGATCGGAGTCCTCGTCTTTCAGAAACTCCTTCCACGGGTACTTGGCCTCCCTGCCGGCCTCCCTCTCCTTTTCTCTCTCTCTCACTTTATCTTTCTCTTTGCTCTTCTCTTTGCTTTTGTCTCTGTCCCTCTCCTTATCTCTCTGCTTTTCTTTCTTTTTCAACTTAGTCTTCAGCTCTTTTTTCAACTTCTTCTTTACCTCTACTGAGGAAGGCAGCTTGGTTTTCTCCTCATACACTTTGTGGAGAGGTTCCGGAGTGGGAGGAGAAACTGAGGGAGAAGAGACGTAAGGGAAGCTGGGAGGCGCACCGGGAGGGGTCCCCAGTTTTGCCTTCCGTACCACCTCATCAATGGAGGCGTCCATCGTCCATGAGTTATCCGAACTTGAAGTCCCGCCTGAGACAGGGAGAGGAGTGGGTCCTGACTTGGTGAAGGTACTCGAGGAGGTGGACGCTTTCGGAGTGGTGCACTCCGAACCTGAAATTCTCTTAGGGCTGGTGAAAATGTCTCCTTCGGATTCCGATCCAGAGGAAAACTCGAAGGGATCTGGCTCCCGCTCAGCACAGGCTCGAGCGATCACAGCGTCGATGGAGTCGTCGATGGTTTTGTCAGTGACGACAGGCTTTTTCGGCTGTGACTCGTTGTTCAGTCTCCCGGCATCGGGGGGAGTCTGTATTGGTTTTACCTGGATGGTCTCTTTACCAGATTTTTCAATCACCGTAGCTGAAGGAGTCCTGTTTGGTGTTTCTGGTCTGGCAGGGGGCTGGGGGGTATGAGACATAATCTTGGGGCTCTTGGGGCTTTTGGGGCTCTTAGAGCGTCCAGGTGACTTCTTTTCTTTGGAGATGGTTTTTGGTGACCGAATAGGACTTCCCACCATTGCTGGCGATGGGATAGTTTTAGGTGATTTAGTTTTCTGTCCCGGAGAGCTAGTTTTAGTCTTTGTTTTGGGTGTGAAGGACTTTGCTTCTAATGGCTTTGCCGTTGGTAACTGTGCCTTTGCAAATGGAGCCAGCATTGGGGGCTCTGGTGATGGAGGGGCTAGGTCCGCACTGTCCTGGACATGCACGGGAGACAGCATTGGCGGGATCTTCTGTGCATTTATTGAGCTGAGAGGCTCTCGGGCTTCCAACAGTACAACATCCAAGGAGTCCCCTTTAGTGCTCAAGAGTCTGGGTCGCTTCATGGCCGGCATCTCTTCAGTCTCAGGACTGTCCATTGGTCTCTTACCCAGGAAATTCTCATCATTAATGATTTCCTCCTCTTCCAGTTCATCGTCTTCTTCCAAGGGAACTTGCATGGCTTCTGCGGAGGTGCCCCCATCAGTGGGTACCTGCTCTTCTTCTTCCTCTGGTAAAGGAAGGGGGAAAATTATTAGAATGTGACAAAAAGTAACAAACAAAAACAATGCTTCCAGAACCATTTCTTGGAAAGAAAGAAATTAAGGGTTTCTAGAGTAAAGAGGATCCTCCCAACCTGGGGGGGGGGAAGTCAGCATTGTTTTAAAGGTGGCAACTGGGGCTTGAGAGATGGCAGCAGTTCAGAGCACTGGCTGCTCTTGCAGAGGACCCAGGTTTGGTTCCCAGCATCAGCATGTCAGCTAACAACCATCTGTAACTCTAGTTCCAGGAGACTCCGACGCCCTCTGCTGTCCTCTGCCGGCATTGCCATGACACTGGTGCACTTACATACCCAGCAATGTATTCATACACATAAAAAATAAAAATAAATAAAATATAAACTAGAAATAACTGCTTCTTTAATTCTTTTCCTAATCTGAGTGAGTACTGTTTCCACATCCCACTCATACTGTCCTTCAACACCCCCTCCATGCCTCTAAAAATAAGATCTCTATGAAACTGAGGCCAACCTGTTCTACATAGTGAGTTCCAGGCCAGTCAGCACTGCTTCATGAGACCTTGTCTCAAAAAAGTAAATAAAGTTAATTGATTAATTAAGAGAGATGAGTTCTTATGGCTGCTACTCTCAGAAATGACAGAAAAACATACTTTTTTTTTTAACTTTATGTGTATGAGTGTTTTGTGTCCATCCATATATGTGCACCATGTACATGCCTGGTGCCCAGAGAGGCCAGAAGATAGCATTGGATCCCCTGGAACTGGAGTTACAGATGGCTGTGAGTCACCATGTGGGTGTTGGAAACAATACCCAGGTCTTCTGCAAAGTAGCCAGTGTTCTTAATTGCTAAGCCATCTCACCAGCCCTAAAAGACATTCTTGTAAAAGACTTTTTGTGTATGTTCATGTGTGTACGTAGGTGCATGTGAATAAGTGTGCACATGTGTGTGAAAGCCAGAGGTTGATGTCAGATATCTTCCTCAATCACTCTCCACCTTATTTTTTGAGCTAGGGTCTCCTTGAACCTGGAGATCACCAATCAGCTATACGTGGGTTCTGGTGTACCACACTCAGGTTCTCATGCCTATATGACAAGGACTTTACTGATTGAGACATCTCCCAGTCTTTTTAAAGGACTTCTGTAGCAAACTTCAAAGATCCATTTATCTTTATTTTATGTGTATGAGTGGTTTGCCTGCATGTGGTAAGTGCACCATGTGCATACAATATCCATGAAAGCCAGAAGAGGGCGTCAGATTCCCCTGGAACTGGCATTATAGGTGGTGATAAGCTGCCATGTGGGTCCTGGAAACCAAACCCCAGTCCTTTGCAAGAGCAGCAAGTCCTCTTAACTGCTGAGCCATCTCTCTAGACCCTGCAATAAATTTTAATTATCTGGGATAGAACTCACATCCTATGCATATCTACTTGAAGAGATAGCATGGTATAATACAATAGGTTTGGCTAAGACTGTTGAAACAGTGTGTTTTAGTTAGAGTTCTGGTCCAACAGAGCAACAAGTCTTAGGCAATCTCTCAACTTCCTTGAGTCTGTTCCCTGACCTTTCAAAAGGGGATAACATTCTTTGACCTGCCTACCTGAGTTCTTGTAAGAATATATTATTGCTTTGTACAGATATTAACTGAGCATATCCTATACAATGATAAGGACTAAATGCACTATAGGGACAATTCATCACCTAAAATAATGCATGTGTGTAGCACACCAAAAATAATTAGGGCCATAAAGTACTACAGGAGGGGTTGGGGATTCAGCTCAGAGGTAGAGCGCTTGCCTAGCAAGCACAAGGCCCTGGGTTCAGTCCTCAGCTCTGATTAAAAAAAAAAAAAAAAAAAAAAGACAAAATAAAGTGTTACAGGAGTTCAGGAAGAAGCAGATTACCATAGTGTAAAATGTATGGGGAAGACTTCAAGAATTATGCAGTGCTTGGACTACCTGGAGCTAGAAGTGGAAAAGTCCAGGACGAACAGTTAGATGACAGAGAGGAGGAAGTGGGGCACAGTAAGTGTGTAAGAATCGGGTAATAATTTTTCTTGAAAGCAGGGAATAAGGTGGCACACGGGAGAAAGTTTAGTACAGTTGCATCCATATCACAAGGCTTCTGACTTCTACTGGTAGTTTGGATATACGGAGGGCTTCACATAATGGAGAAAAAGACTGGGGCATGTGTGAGTGATATTATCGTGGCAGAAACAAATGATAGACAGAATGGGTGGTAAACAAAACCAGAGTGAGGGGACAAGTTAGGTGTGACCAACAAGATGTAGGTAAGAGGGAAGAAGAGAACAAGTAGATAGTAGTAACAGGTAGGAAGCAGAAGATGTAAATGATAGTCTTCAGACAAACTATGAAAGCTCTGAAAAATGCTCAGGTATGAATTGAAGGATTCAAACACAAGTCCAAGGCTTTATGGCCCAGAGTGATAAATGTCATCGTTAACAGAAAAAGGAAATGGAGGACGATGGATGATCATTAGTAGCTTGACCCCCAGATACAGAGTTTTGATGACCAGTGATGTCTCTAAGGCACACCAAAACTCCAAAAACAAGATGGGGGATGAGAGAGAAGGCTCTTTGTTGAGATCATTGAAATCGTAACAACAGATGTATGGATGAGGTGAAATACGGGTGGAATTTTTGAGGAGTTTTGAGGAATATCAGTACATAAAGATAAAAGGAAGAAGAGCTGATAAAATACATAGAGGATAGAACTGAACTATGCAAGGTGTTCTCTGACCTCTACATGCATGCCATGGTATGCACATGCACACACACAAGTATATTAGTGAGACTTTAAAGTATTTTTAAAAAGAAATCCTAGTGAAGAAAGCCAATGTTTAAAAGGTCAATGAAAATGAAGGCTAACGGCAGAAGCCAGACTACAAAAGCATCCAGAGGGAACAAGTGAGGCAATGATCCGAAAGCTCTCTGTGCCATAGACAGCATGACCTCAACATGATTGTTCCTACTATTGACTTCACGTCACCAACATCTCTCCTGTAGCCATGGCAGGTGAAGAATCATAAAGGAGATGACTTGGGTACTCTCCAAGTGAAAGTTTTAGGGCACTCACTAGGGCTGTGGGGATGGAGCTCGGTTGGCAGAGGGCTTGCCTGGCATGCACGAAGACCTGAGTAGGCTCCCTGGCAATGAATAAGCCTGGGCAGGGTGGCACATGCCTGTAATCCCAGCACTTGGGAGGTAGAGGAAGGAAGATCAGAAGATCAGGAGGTAGAGGCAGGAAGATCAGAAGTTCAAAGTCATCCTTAGCTGCATAGCAAGTTGGAGGCCAGCATGGTATCCATGAAAACATGTCTCAAAACCAAAACAAAGAAGAGTACCTACCAGTATTACATTTCTCTTTTCTCCTTCCTTCCAGTGCTGGGAATCAAACCATGGTCTCATGCATTCTAGGCAAGCACTCTAACTACTAAGCTATCTATCTAGCCTTCTATTTCCATGTTTCAAAGAATCTCCCTTTATTTTATAAATTTTAAGAGACTTTATATTTCATTTTATTTTTTATATTTATTATTTTTATTTTATGTGTATGAGTGTTTTGTCTGCATGTATGTAAGTGTACCTGTGTCATGCAATGTCCTCAGAGGTCAGAAGAGGGCGTTGGATCCCCTAGAACTGAAGTTACAGATGGTTGTTGGCTGCCATGTGGGTGCTGGGAACCAAACCTGGATCATCTGTAAGAGCAGCCAGTGCTCTTAATTGCCGAATCATCTCTCCAGCCCAGAACCTCCTTTTAGTGTGCAAAAGGTTATAAATCCCAAAGATGCCAAGGCAGAAAGAGAAAAGTCTGGTCTGGCAGGAGAACAGGCCTGTAGAATATGTGAAAGCACAGTCTCTTCTAACTCTGGAGGCTAGTTTGGACCTACATTAACTCTCACTCTAGTCCCCTAGACTGCACCCAAGGAAGACCTTGGGAGACCAAAGGGAAACAGCTCTAACTTAAGTTCCTCGGAAGGGGACACCCTGGGCTACCAGTAAAATAGCTTCAGGTTTTCTAGATATAAGGCCATGCTTATAATCAGAAAAACTTGAAAATTTGTGTTTTCTTTTTCCAAAAATATTTGTATTAGATTTTTATTTGATATTTTACTTTATGTCTATGTGTATTGCCTACATGTGCATAAGTGCACCCATGTCATGCAATGCCTGTGGAGGTCAGAAGGCATAGAATCCCCTGGAACTAGAGTTATGGGCAGTTGTTAGCTGCCGTATGGGTGCTAGGAATCAAACCCAGGTCCTCTACAAGAGTAGTCAGTGCTCTTAACTGCTGAGCCATCTCTCCAGCCCTTATGCCCTTGTTATTTATTTATTTATTTATTTAGTTAGTTAGTTAGTTAGTTAGTTTTTAGAGAGAGAGAGAGAGAAAGAGAGAGAGAACATGTGCCATAGTGCACATGTGGATGTCAGAGAACAACTTGTACAAGTAGGTTCTCTCCTACCATGTGGATCCTGAGGCTTAAACTCAGGTCATCAGGGTAGCTTTAACCCACTGAGCCATTTTATGCTTCCTTCTGAAAATTTGTGCTTTCTTGTACTTGAAACTTTGCAATTCTATCAGACTGGAACTGGCAAGATGGCTGCCAGGTAAGTATCTGAACTGAAGGACATATGCCAGGCTTAGTTAAAAAAAAAAAAAATGGAATAGTTTCATACAAAAACTTTAGAAAATATATTGGTTCATTTTCAACTTAAAGCTCAGATACTTCATGAAAGTATAAAAATTAATGACAGTTGCTCATGTTTAAATGGAACAACTTTTAAAAACTTAAAGCTTGATTCAAAGTAAGGCTCTAAAAGCTAGGAGGCATTGTTCTGTTTTAGTTATACTCTGTGAGTGTTTTAATATTTCCTTGGATCACCTGCAAAAAAAAAAAAAAACCTCAATAGAAGTTAAATATCACAAGATAGCTGATATCATTTCTACTATCACAATATTTTGAAAGAGGAGGAA